TTAAAGAACACAGGTTGTTGTGTAGTGTGTAGTTAAAGAACACAGGTTGGTGTGTAGTGTGTAGTTAAAGAACACAGGTTGGTGTGTCGTGTATAGTTATAGAACACAGGTTGGTGTGTCGTGTGTAGTTAAAGAACACAGGTTGTTGTGTCGTGTGTAGTTAAAGAACACAGGTTGTTGTGTCGTGTGTAGTTAAAGAACACAGGTTGTTGTGTAGTGTGTAGTTAAAGAACACAGGTTGGTGTGTCGTGTGTAGTTGGAGAACACAGGTTGTTGTGTCGTGTGTAGTTGGAGAACACAGGTTGTTGTGTCGTGTGTAGTTGGAGAACACAGGTCGTTGTGTCGTGTGTAGTTGGAGAACACAGGTTGTTGTGTCGTGTGTAGTTGGAGAAGACAGGTTGTTGTGTAGTGTGTAGTTGGAGAACACAGGTTGTTGTGTCGTGTGTAGTTGGAGAACACAGGTTGTTGTGTAGTGTGTAGTTAAAGAACACAGGTTGGTGTGTCGTGTGTAGTTAAAGAACACAGGTTGGTGTGTCGTGTGTAGTTAAAGAACACAGGTTGTTGTGTCGTGTGTAGTTGGAGAACACAGGTTGTTGTGTCGTGTGTAGTTAAAGAACACAGGTTGTTGTGTCGTGTGTAGTTAAAGAACACAGGTTGTTGTGTAGTGTGTAGTTGGAGAACACAGGTTGTTGTGTAGTGTGTAGTTAAAGAACACAGGTTGGTGTGTCGTGTGTAGTTGGAGAACACAGGTTGTTGTGTCGTGTGTAGTTGGAGAACACAGGTTGTTGTGTCGTGTGTAGTTAAAGAACACAGGTTGTTGTGTCGTGTGTAGTTGGAGAACACAGGTTGGTGTGTCGTGTGTAGTTGGAGAACACAGGTTGTTGTGTCGTGTGTAGTTGGAGAACACAGGTTGTTGTGTCGTGTGTAGTTGGAGAACACAGGTTGGTGTGTCGTGTGTAGTTGGAGAACACAGGTTGTTGTGTCGTGTGTAGTTGGAGAACACAGGTTGTTGTGTCGTGTGTAGTTGGAGAACACAGGTTGGTGTGTCGTGTGTAGTTGGAGAACACAGGTTGTTGTGTCGTGTGTAGTTGGAGAACACAGGTTGGTGTGTCGTGTGTAGTTGGAGAACACAGGTTGTTGTGTCGTGTGTAGTTGGAGAAGACAGGTTGTTGTGTCGTGTGTAGTTGGAGAAGACAGGTTGTTGTGTCGTGTGTAGTTGGAGAAGACAGGTTGTTGTGTCGTGTGTAGTTGGAGAAGACAGGTTGTTGTGTAGTGTGTAGTTGGAGAACACAGGTTGTTGTGTCGTGTGTAGTTGGAGAACACAGGTTGTTGTGTCGTGTGTAGTTACACAGGTGCATTGAATACAGGGGTGGTTTTAGTAAAACACCAAACACCCCCATTCATTGACTACAGGGTGTAAACTACATGTTGTAATCTGCACTCAAATGTAGAGAAACACAAACGCAAGACACTGTCACTAGTCGCTTGACAAAGACTGCAGTTGTTTAGATCCGAACCTGTGACCTAACCTTTAACCCCCCGTTGTTCGCGGTGACCTGACCTTTGACCCACGCTATCTCCACATTTATTAAGTATCATGCAGTGCCAACCACAAGACCTTATGTGCAAACAACATTCAACGCCCATCATTACCAAACACAACATTACGTCACACAACAACCATTAACAGTGAAGGAGAATGAGAACATTCTCGTATAAAATAAATATTAATCTACCATTATTACTTGGGGGGGGGGGGGGTATTTAAATATATAAGGCATAAATACGAATACACAAAGAATGTAAAACGACCATATCTAGTGCATGACAGTGAAAAGATCTGCAGCCATAAAATATCTTATATTCGTATATTATGATGTAAACTAAACGTTCATTTTTGAAAGGAAGGGAGGTAAATAAATTAAATGACTTATGTGAGTAAAACTTTATACGCTGCTTTCCCTTACATTGAGGTTACAAGCTTGTGGAAAAGATGTAGCGATGTGTATTGTTATGCTTGCAGAACACGTACGGCATTTCAAACCATGGCGTTGATGTCAAATGACGTGATTTCAGAGGTGGTTGCGAGTTTATGTACTAAGGGAAATTACCAATAAAATACACACGTTTTTTAATCAGCATGGTGTTAACTCCCTTGGATAACGTTGTAGTTCATAATGGGACCAGCTGGTAGTTACATTAACAATCGCATATTTTTGTTTATTAAGTATTACAATCAATGTAGGGAGGAATAATTTGATCTGACCTGTAGCGTAGCTAGGGCAGGGAGGGCTAAGGCATCGACCCTAAGGGGGTCCCACAAGGGATAAAAAAAATAATAAAAAGCTCGTTTCAAGTTTAAGTATTGAATTATCCACAAAGTTACAAAAAATTATAAACGTCTACAAGACACCCCACTGATTAATTAATTAATTGTGCGGCACCTAAATAAAAACAAGGGATAGTGACAGGTAAAAAACGCCTTTCACCAAAACAATAAACTAAATATATAAATAAAAAGTCGGGGACGCAAAAATGACAGTTCGCCCGGGCATGAATAGCTACGCCCTTGGACCTGACCCTTCACTTCGGTCACGTGACCAATACATATCCTGCACTAACACAGCAGGAAAAGGTCACAGTAATGTACCACTTAGCGCCCCCCCCCCCCCCCCAACCCATCCGTACGGGCAAGTAGCTCGCCATGTTTTAAACCAGAATCATTGTTATCCTAGAACAAAATCCTTACGCTCAGCTTGATAATGTTATCGACAGTGTGTATGAAATATGAGGAGCAAATAAAAACTTGGATCAAAGCACGTGTCGCCATCAACAGCTGTGTGCGATTTGGCTCGTCATATTATTATCGGTATACAATAAAAACACGATTACAAAACGGGGTTGTTGTTTTTTTGAATCCCCTATACCCCGTATACGAGAAAGTAAACAGACGAACCAATTTATAAATTTAGTTATTTATGTTGATGTAGTAGCGCTTTGTACCAGTCAATATCCCGTAACAGTTAAGCAATCGTCTCTTTATCGGTGTTTCTTCCAGACTTTTTTCACCGGGGGGGGGGGGGGGGGCAGTAGACTTTCTTCGGGGGGGGGGGCGGACACTGTTAAAAGTATATATTTTCTATATAAATTATATAAATTTCATTTCGTTCGTGGGGGGCGGTAAAAGATTTTCGGGGAAGAGATGCCTGGAAGAAACTCTGCTCTTTATAATAATTCTACACATCATATAACAATCCTGATCCTGTAAAACAAACAATATAATGACCACGGTGAACGGAAAGATGCGCACCGAAAAAAATGCGCACAAAAAAAAGCGCAAGGACATATTTTCTTAAATCGAGGATTTATAGACATTAACGAAACGTGACTACATGTACACTGTAGCATAATAAAACTTATTTCCATGAGATATGACAAAATTTAACTATATTTGTATAATTCGTTTGTATTTGTGCATTTTTCTGTTTAAGTAGTTTTCCGTTGCGCAGTTTTGTGGGAACCGATGACCAAAAATGTCTGACCTATGATCTCGTTCAAAGACACCCCCCCCCTAGTGTTTCTTCCAGACTGTTTTCTCTTGGGGGGGGGGGGGGCACTTGAAATTTTTGGGGGGTGGGGGGCGCCCCCTGAAGAGATGCCTGGAAGAAACTCTGCCCCCCCCCCCCCCCCCCCCACTGAGAGTTCATTTCGTCAAAATTCAGCGTTGGCCTTTGAAACAACTGTTAACCGGGTTACGAACGCTCCTGTTTCCGAACGTCCCGAGTAACGAACGCCCCTGATTCCGAACGTCCCGAGTTACGAACGCCCCTGTTTCCGAACGTCCCGAGTTACGAACGCCCCTGTTTCCGAACGTTCCGTGTTACGAACGCCCCTGTTTCCGAACGTCCCGAGTTGCGAACGCCCCTGGGTAAGTAGGCTGTCCTGTTGCTGAGTGATAACCAGTAGCGTAGCGAGGGGGGGGGGGGGGGCGGGGGGGGGGACATATGTCCCCGGGCGCCGAGCTTAAGGGGCGCCAAAATGGGTTGGCAAAATAAATTGAAAGGTTGAGGGGGTGCAAATTGAAAGTTTGAGGGGGGGGGGTGCAAATCAAAATCTCGAGGGGGGGGGGTGCAAATCGAAAAGTTTGTCCCCGGGCGCCGGGAAGGGTCGCTACGCCTCTGGTGATAACACCACCCTAGGAACGACTACGCTCTGTTGATGTTTCGTGTTGTTTTGGTGGGGTCAAAGTGCACACGACAGACGACAATTGCGCGTTTTATAACCTCGTGCGTAGTGTGACGTCAGATCTAAAAATACAATTCTATCCACGAAATTACATCAATGAGAAGAAGGTAAAAATATTGTGAGGAAACGACACAGTTGGGTTTCTAAAGGAGATCACATGCAGATTTGTAGGGGACATTATGGACACGTGAATAGAATAATAGCGTGGCTTTGATAACATGGAAGTGACTGGGTTATATGGGTGTGACTGGGTTATATGGGCGTGACTGTGTTAATTGAGCATGGCTAGATTTTATGGGTATAAGTACATGGGAGAAACTCGATTATATAGGCGTGACTAGATTATATGGGTGTAACTAGATTATATGGGTGTAACTAGATTATGTGGGTGCAACAAGATAATATAAGCGTGACTATATTATATGGGCGTGACTATATTATATGGGCGTCCTAGACTATGTGGGCGTAACAAGATTTTATGGACGTGACTGGATATGGGCGTGATTATGTTGGACGAGCATCAACTGGTTATTACAAAGGCGTGCCAGGATAATTACATGACCGTGACTGTGGGGGTGGACCTTGGGTGAATGTGTAAGGCAAGATGTGTCTGACCACCACCAGCACCTACACCCCTCCACCAGCCTGCCTTACCTGCCCAGCGTCCCACCACCACCAGCACCTACACCCCTCCACCAGCCTGCCTTACCTGCCCAGCGTCCCTCCACCTACACCCCTCCACCAGCCTGCCTTACCTGCCCAGCGTGTGCTTCATCTTCTTCCCCAGGCCCTTGTGCTGCTTCATGTGCTTGTACCCAGAGAACACGTGACTGATATCAAAGTACTTCCCCAGCGGCGCCCCTAAGTCCATCAGGTGCCCGTGCTCGTGGTGACCGCCCCTCGCTTCCTTTTTCCGGTTGTCATGGTGACGAGCATCCCCTAGACTCGCCTGTGACTCGAACAAGTCTGCCATGGATTCGATCTTGGCGCTGTTGGTGGCCAGGATGTTGGCGTAGGTCTCCACCATCCGGTGCTGTTGCTCGTGATCGCCGCTCGAGACCTGGCCCTCACTGACGTCATCGGTGACGGAGTCGTACGCCGCCGTGTTGTACTCAGGCGGCTCCGGGGCCGAGATTATAATTAATGGCCGCGCGGGAACAGCTGGCGGCTGCGTCATCCCATTTCCGGCGGGCTGGCCCACCGTGTGAAACAGAGGGGTGTCAGGGTCTGTTTGAAAGAGATCGAAGTTGGCCTCCAACATGTTTTCTTCCAGTTTTTTGTTGAGATTCATCCACGTGATTAAAAAAACAAAACAACACCACTTATTCCAATTTCTGAAATTCGGCTAGTTTTTAATCCACGAAATACAGATTTAGTTAATTCCTGTGTGAAAGCTGTACACATACATGAAGGGGGTTTCTGTAATGGAATATCCCAGTGAGAAAAGAAACTCCAATGCAAAAGATTGGACTGACGTGTAGTTGATGCTACCACTACCAGTGGTTTGTGGACGAAATTCCTAACAAACAAGTAAGATTTTAAACTAGAAACACAGCCACAACTAACTTAGTCACATGAACAGAAATACGTAGCAGTCCCGAAAGAAATAAGCCTTGATCTGATTGCAGGATTTTTGGGGTAGGATTTGGGTCACGGTCAATATTTTAACACTCGTGCTATCCTGTCTATAGGGGTGGGGGTGGGGGTACTTTAACATAGCAGTAAACAGCGTGCATCATGAGAGAACATTTAGACAACAACAATAAAATAAAAGTTTGTAACAACATACATGACGAAAATAATGGCGTACGGAGGACTTTTGTTTGGCTTTGGTTTTTAATGAGTATATATATTATATATACACGACGGTATACTTGTTTCAAAACGTTTTTAAAAAAATGTTAAGTTGGACAACATACACAGTGGACAACATACAGTGGGCAAGATACTGGACATGACAAACATCTAGAATGATATACACAAACAACATAATTAGCTCTGGAATCATTGTCACAATGGCCCACTTACAGCTGACATAATGGCCCACATACAGCTGACATAATGGCCCACATACAGCTGACATAATGGCCCACATATAGCTGACATAATGGCCCACATACAGCTGACATAATGGCCCACATACAGCTGACATAATGGCCCACATACAGCTGACATAATGGCCCACATACAGCTGACATAATGGCCCACATACAACTGACATGAGGCCACATACAACTGACATGAGGGCCCACATACAGCTGACATAATGGCCCACATACAGCTGACATAATGGCCCACATACAGCTGACATAATGGCCCACATACAGCTGACATGAGGGCCCACATACAGCTGACATAATGGCCCACATACAGCTGACATAATGGCCCACATACAGCTGACATAATGGCCCTCATACAGCTGACATAATGGCCCACATACAGCTGACATAATGGCCCTCCTACAGCTGACATAATGGCCCTCCTACAGCTGACATGAGGGCCCACATACAGCTGACATAATGGCCCTCATACAGCTGACATAATGGCCCTCATACAGCTGACATAATGGCCCACATACAGCTGACATAATGGCCCACATACAGCTGACATAATGGCCCACATATATGACATAATGGCCCACATACAGCTGACATAATGGCCCACATACAGCTGACATAATGGCCCACATATATGACATAATGGCCCACATACAGCTGACATAATGACCCACATATATGACATAATGGCACTCCTACAGCTGACATAATGGCCCTCATACAGCTGACATAATGGTCCACATACAACTGACATAATGGCCCACATACAGCTGACATAATGGCCCACATACAACTGACATGAGGCCACATACAACTGACATGAGGGCCACATACAGCTGACATAATGGCCCTCCTACAGCTGACATGAGGGCCCACATATATGACATAATGGCCCACATACAGCTGACATAATGGCCCACATATATGACATAATGGCCCACATACAGCTGACATAATGGCCCACATACAGCTGACATAATGGCCCTCCTACAGATGACATAATGGCCCACATATATGACATAATGGCCCACATACAGCTGACATAATGGCCCACATATATGACATAATGGCCCACATACAGCTGACATAATGACCCACATATATGACATAATGGCACTCCTACAGCTGACATAATAGCTTTCATACAACTGACATAATGGTCCACATACAACTGACATAATGGCCCACATACAGCTGACATAATGGCCCACATACAACTGACATGAGGCCACATACAACTGACATGAGGGCCACATACAGCTGACATAATGGCCCTCCTACAGCTGACATGAGGGCCCACATACAGCTGACATGAGGGCCCACATACAGCTGACATAATGGCCCACACACAGCTGACATAATGGCCCTCATACAGCTGACATAATGGCCCACATACAGCTGACATAATGGCCCACATATATGACATAATGGCCCACATACAGCTGACATAATGGCCCACATACAGCTGACATAATGGCCCTCCTACAGATGACATAATGGCCCACATACAGCTGACATAATGGCCCACATATATGACATAATGGCCCACATACAGCTGACATAATGGCCCACATATATGACATAATGGCCCACATACAGCTGACATAATGACCCACATATATGACATAATGGCACTCCTACAGCTGACATAATGGCCCTCATACAGCTGACATAATGGCCCACATAACGACTGCAACCAGCCCTAGTGTTGCCGGGCCCTACCTGTATAAAGCCACCCTTTTACCTGACCACCAAGAACATCCAATACAAATCTTACAGAACACTTAAACTACAACAATATAATGTACACTAGGTGGCTGTGTACACTAGGTGGCTGTGTACACTAGGTGGGTGTGTACACCACGCCATAAACTGGAGCATTAAGAGCGATATAAAAAAAAGCCACAAAATTCACATAAAACTCCCGTCCACAAGAAACCACTGGTACCTCAAGTCAACTGGTAGCCTGAAGTCAACAACTGGTACCTCAAGTCAACTGGTAGCCTTAAGTCAACAACTGGTAGCCTTAAGTCAACAACTGGTAGCATCAAGTCAACAACTGGTAACATCAAGTCAAGCACCACCTCCACGACTGGATAGTGTAATCTTGTGTCCCGACTGTCCTTTACATAGATCTCCATCCACACAAACAGCCACTGGTAGTGCCCCAGTTCCACATGGCTGAGCAGGACTGGTTCCAGCGGGATTCGATGGCACTGACACAAGGACGATCTGTGCTGTCACCTGGGTCAATTTCTGATTGGGGTTAATAGACACAGGCCTCACTTTCTGGGGCGGGGTTAGTCTCTATACAAGGGGCAATGGGTGGTCTAACATGCATGTGTTAGTCTGTACTAATTCTTATATGGGGCAATATGTTAATCATGAGCCTAGAGTTAGGTATTAGTCCGTATAAATCCTTATACCGGGCAATAAGTTAAAACATGAGCCTAAGATTTATTAAAAAAAAAACAACCGTATGAACTCTGAGGTGGGTGGGGGTGACAACCGCTAAATTTACAGAGGAAATAAAAAGTTTAGTTGAATATTTTCAATAACTAGTAAATCAGTCAATGGCCGGGGTGGGGAGACACCATACGACGCACCGGGTGACACCCGACCTAGCGACGCCACTGGGGGAATGCATGCTGCATTCAAATATCCACTAGTACACCCTTAAACTAACTGATAACGAGTGTACCAAATTGACCACGAGTGCACCCAACTGACCACGAGTACACACAACAACCCAACTGACCACGAGTGCACCCAGCTGAACAAGAGTGCACCCAACTGACCACTAGTGCAACCAACAACTCAACTGACCACAAGTGCACCCAACAACCCGAATGAACACGAGTGCACCCAACTGACCACGAGTGCACCCAACAACTCAACTGACCATAAGTGCACCCAACAACCCAACTGACCACGACTGCACCCAACTGACCACGAGTGCACCCAACTGACCACGAGTGCACCCAACAACTCAACTGACCATAAGTGCACCCAACAACCCAACTGACCTCGAGTGCACCCAACTGACCACGAGTGCAACCAACAACTCAACTGACCATAAGTGCACCCAACAACCCAACTGACCACGAGTGCACCCAACTGACCAAGAGTGCACCCAACAACCCAACTGACCACGAGTGCACCCAACTAACCACGAGTGCACCCAGCTGACCACGAGGGCACCCAACTGACCAAGAGTGCACCCAACAACCCAACTGACCACGAGTGCACCCAGATGACCACGAGTGCACCCAACTGACCACGAGTGCACCCAACTGACCACGAGTGCACCCAACAACTCAATTGACCATAAGTGGACCCAACAACCCAAATGACCACGAGTGCACCCAACTGACCACGAGTGCACCCAACAACTCAACTGACCATAAGTGCACCCAACAACCAAACTGACCACGAGTGCACCCAACTGACCAGGAGTGCACCCAACAACCCAACTGACCACGAGTGCACCCAACTGACCACGAGTGCATCCAACAACCCAACTGACCACGAGTGCACCCAACTAACCACGAGTGCACCCAACTGACCACGAGTGCACCCAACTGACCACGAGTGCACCCAGCTGACCACGAGTGCACCCAACTGACCACGAGTGCACCCAGCTGACCACGAGTGCACCCAACTGACCACGAGTGCACCCAACTGACCACGAGTGCACCCAACTGACCACGAGTGCACCCAGCTGACCACGAGTGCACCCAGCTGACCACGAGTGCACCCAACTGACCACGAGTGCACCCAACTGACCACGAGTGCACCCAACTGACCACGAGTGCACCCAACTGACCACGAGTGCACCCAGCTGACCACGAGTGCACGCTACCTACCGAGTTCCCACCCAGCCCCAGATCAGCATACAACTAGGCCAGTGACGTAATGTCCACAGCATAGACAGGCTCAACTGGTCAATTATCAGTCGGCCAACAGTGACCTATTGACCCAGAGATATCGTCTCAAACAACAGACACGTGTACACACCACACACCCACTTGGTACGCAATGTGTACACGCGCTATTTATTTGGCCACGTGGACCCACAAACAACAGTAGCAGCCGACATCTGAGATTCCGGCGGGTCAATACCGTCTGCTGGGACTCGTGCTGTTATTAATTTTGTCACATTGTGACTCATCCTTAACACGTCGGGCCGCATGTTGATTGGTGTGCTGTTGTTGGTTCGTAACAGACGACACCCCCCCCCCCCCGATCCCTACCCTCACTACCGTTATAGAGGGGGGGGGGATGAGCGTTGTAAAGTAGTTGTAAACATCTACCACGATCAAAGGCAAGGACGGGATCCAGTAGAATGGGATGTGATAAATGGGAAGTGCGTGGTAGAATATGTTGCATGTCTTTAGATCCGTAAAATCTAACCCTTACAACACGACAATGACTATTCTGTCGGCACACATCAGAATTTGAAAGTCATTAACCTTACCATTTTAA